CATATTTTTTTCTTACTGTGGTGATTACTTGAGACAGGTGTATGTTTATGTTATATTCCGTGCTAATAGGAATATATACTTGAAAAACACGGTGGATAAAATAAGTAAAGGTTTATTGTAGAAACCAGTACAGTAAGAATAAAGGTAACAGTTATGCACAAAGTCGTCGCAAGTCAATCCAGTAGTGAGTGCTACTATTGGAAAGTTGGTAGTTCTCATGTAAGTCTGAGTTGTACTCAACAGATGCCAGCTAGACTCCATAGTCTGTTGACTTACCGATACTTATAGGTAGTTACTACTTATAGTGTAGTTACTCATAGGGGTAACAGGTTATTCCATTACATCAGTTTACATAGTGATAAATTTGTTACAGGAAGTTAAATAAATTTCAACTTCCTGCATTGCACAAATATTGCACTTTTCCTCAAGCATATTCATTGTCTAGACCTGGGCTATAGAACTGATTTTTGTTGCTCAGCACCCATCATCATCATCTGATTGCACTGCTTGCATGAATTTCTGTGAGAATGCAGTTTGTGTCATCACAAATCTACTTGATGTAGGTCTTAGCTCATCATCCTCTGCTAGCTCATCCTTGTGTAGGCTCCCATAAAAGAACTTTACCTCTCCAGCAATACCCTGTGAATCTGACACTATGCTCTTTGATGATGTCTGATACTGAACAAAGGTCCCTCATTGGCCAGATCCCTCCAACTTACATTCAAAGTCAGTGTCAAAGGGTGGATTCTCCCTTAGCCATGTGCTGTTATAAATTATATGTATTTTCTCAACCTAATTAATTTTTTTGAGCCACTAAAAATTTAGTGTCCAAGGCAATTGCCCCTCTGGCCCGGCCCATACTATGCCACTCAGTAACGTGCAGAAGTTTAATGTTTGGTGATGCCTGAGGCCAACTCTTTGATTGTACACCACTAAGTCTCAAGTGGGAGGAGGGGGGTCTAATACTGAGAAATGTGAGAAAGGAAGACATTTTAAATATGTAAAAACAGATGAAGCATGAAATAAACACTTTATTGAAATTAAATATAAACTAAATTTTTATTTTGCTCTTTAAATGGATGCCTGAGTCCATTGCACCCTCTGCCCACCACACACTTCTGCATGCTACTGATGCCATTGTTCAAAGTCACCCTTAGCATGCAAGTGTAGGCTCTATCCAATTTTCTTTCCACTTTTGAGGTAAGGGTTCATTACAATAAAACAGAGACAACAGCTACTTTTCATGTTGACAACATGCTTGGCACTTAATTTGACATATTTCAAAAAGATTAAAGTATGCGACTGGACAGCTAATATAAAATTTGAAAATATTTTTACTGCATAGAATACTGTATGAAAATAACCCTAAAAGTTAGCAATAAAACAAATCTGTAACTGCCTTTACTAGAGCTGTAGCAATGCTCGTATTGATGTCTTTTGAGATTTCATAAGTTTTTAGTCAACGTATAAATATAAAATGAAATCACAAGTTTATATGAGAAAAAATAATTATTTATTTAATACTCACCTTTTAAGGAGAGTATTATAGCTGATGCTAATTAAAAAAGTCTGTTACATTTGATTTTAATCTACTTAGAAACAAAGATGTCTCTCTATTTTATCCATATGATTTATTTTCTTGGATTTGGTTGATTTTGTTTAGTGGCATATCAAACTCTATGGACTATTTAATGCTGAAATCTAAATATTTTGAACACAATTTTATGGCTTCAACTAAATATATTCTAAATGCAGTTGTATGCCTTCAACTACAGATAAAATGTATTTTTGGTCATTTTTCTATAAAATGATTTGTTGGTAATTTTTTTTATATAAAAATGTATTGCTGGTATTTATTATCATAAAAATGTATATTTATACTTTCATAGTGTTTTGTTTTTGTTTGGGAGTTCACTATTTGCCCATAGTTGGGACCTACCACTCCAGGTCAGCGTAAACCTGTGAACAACAGCAACCGGTGCCATACTCCTCAAAACCTCCAACCTCCTGATCAGAGGCCTTGCTACTGGATGTAGTTTATTGTCATACCCAGGACTATTCTTCTTGGACATAAAAACACTGACCAAGCTCTATTTTGTTTCCTCCCCCATTTTTCCATTTCAGTGACTTCTACTTCACAGCCAGCTCTCTTTCCCACTTTTCATTTTCAGTGGTCTCTACATTCAAGTCCAGCTCAAAGGGCTACAAATAACCCTTGCTGTTGAAGACAAGGCCTATCCTGGCAGCTTGACTCAGATTTCTTGTTCCTCCTGTGGGAACTGGCAGATAAATCTCCATTTGAAACATCTACCAAAGGAAAAATACACAACTGCAGAAGATGAGGACTGCCCTAGCAGTTTCACACTCGAATTTCTTGTTCCTCCTATGGAAGCTAGCAGAGAAATCTCTCAACAAAAGCAACTACTCAAGAACTTTGTTAACTGGAAAACCCCACTCTTTTCCTACAAAATGCTACTATTTTACATTCTCTTTCAACCAGAAATAAAAGCTGTTGAACAGTTGTTTTGAGCCTAGGTTTTTGTTCATTCCACCCTCCCTGGCGAGCGCAAACATGCATGCAACTGGGAAAAATTCCTTACACAAGTCCTTTGATATTCTCAAAAACTGTAAAACAGTGACATATGATTCTATAAAATGTGTCAAGCATTGATCTTTTGATAGCCAATGGTCTTTTGTATAAAAAATCATTCAAACATAAGTTTCATCACAGTTCCTCACAAAACTATATAAATACTCAACTATTTCTACTGCAGATATTTCTTGTTAACTGCTTTTATTACAATTATCAGAAATAAATGCAAACTTGAAATTGTTTGCTTTGCAACAAGATTCTCTCCATGGATCATGCAATGAATACATAAGATATTGGTAATTTCTTTCTTTAAACCCTATTAGTACTATAGGGTTTTTGAACATCACACAAAATATTTTTCCTTTATATATTTAGCAAATGGCAAGTTAAATTTTCATGATTAGCTTTCTGTTTCTTTGTTTAGCAACATATCAACATCCTCATGGGTCATTTAATGCCAAAATTTAATTTTCTTGGGAGCATTAGTAATTTCTTTTACAAAAATGTATTGCTGGTAATTTTTTCTTTCAAAAATGCATTGCTGGTATTTTTTTTTATTTTTTACAAAAAATGTATTGCTGATAATATTTTTTTCATTACAGAAATGTATTACTGGTAATGTTCTTTTTCCTTACATAAATGTATTGCTGGTAATTTTTTTTTATTGCTGGTAATCTATTTACTATGAAACCTTTTTACACTTTCATAGTGTTTTGACACCAGTTTCAGGGTTAACTATTTGCCCATAGATGGGACCCTAAGAGGTGCTACTGCCCCTGGTCCCAATGCTTCAATCACTACTGGAATCACTTTGACACTCCCTTCCTGCATTCCAGATAATCTTGTCATCTAATTTTTCAAATCAGAATACGAGCATGTGACTTGCAGAACATTTGAAGAATTTGGAAATCTCACAATATTCTAGGACTATGATCTTCAGACAGTCATCCACCATTAATATTGAGCTAGACAAAAGCACCAAGAACTGTCATATTACCAAATGACACAAATATAGCAAACAAGGTGATTGAGAAAATTACAAATTATTATTATTATTTCTCATCTACATGTTCTATGAGGTTAGTTGCTTATAAGAAGTTTATTTTCAGGTCATCTCTCATGGCTTAAGAAAATAAATCAGTCATTTGTTTTTTCATCAATAGGCTTTTCACAGTACCTTTACTCTTCCAAGCAGGCATAGTTTTTGTTATGTCTCCGTTTTCAAATCACAATTCAGTATCTGCAATTTTTTTCTGTTTTTGCTTTGTACAACACCCCAATGTTCCAATGATCACTGGTGCAGTAACTGTATTTTTTGCTAGTCCTTCCCAAACATTCAAGATTTCATACTTTAAATCATATGAGTTATCAATCTCCTTTTCTTTGATTTTATTTCTCATGTCAAATGGACAGGAGATTTCTATCAGATGACAAATTTTTTCATTTGTTTGTTCAGCATGACTATATTTGGTTTATTGTGCTCTAAATTTGTCCCTGTCTTTATCGGAATATCCCACAGGGTTTTCCCTTTGCTATTCTCGATCATCTGTTACTCATTTGTGATCACATGTTCATAATACTAATCACTACATTCAAACATATACTTTTTACAGAACTGTTATTACCATTGCTACAACCACTTCCACAACCACCACCATCATCATCATTTCCTTTGATTTCTGTTGTATAGCCATTTCCTTCCGGGTCCCAACCCAAGACCAAAGGTCAGAAATGGCACCATGATATTATCCAAGAAACATTTTTGTAAAAAAATAAAGATAATAATAAAACAATCTAAGATCACACACATTTTATATAGATAAATCCCTTTGTAAGGTGTGAGCGATACTTGTGAGAGAAATTTTTTGTATTTCTTTAAGGCAGCGCTAACAAGGATCCCTTTAATGAGTTTAAGAGAACCTTTTCCAATCAAATCCAAGGCCTCAACCACAACTGGAATTATGGATGTCTTGATGTGCTACATTTTTTAGATTTATTATCATTATTATTATTAATAATAATAATAATAATACATTATTATTACATTTGTCATAGAGAAAAGACTGTTTATAAAGAGTTAAGTATTATTTAAATAGGTTAGATTTGTCAGCATCTCAGGCAAGAGGAGGTCGTTTTTTAATGTCATAATCAATATCAGCTGTTGGACTTCATAGTGAACAACAGTGGTGTTAAAAATAAACATTATACTACTACTATATTTGGACTTTGTTGGCATGGCTCGGCACACACAGCTAGATCCAAAGGGTTATAGTAAAACCGATGTTTCATCCAAACTGTATGTTCTTATCCCTAAGAAGAGTGCATACTACTCTCTTTGGGACCGGAAACTGTTAACACTCGTGTATATGATCAGTACTTTTTCCGATATGATAGACTTGACAAAGGCTTATGGCCATATCATGTTGAAACACCAGTTCTCATACAATCACCAAAGTTAAGCAACAATAAGCCTGGTCAGTATCTAGATGGATGATGGCTTGGGAAAATCACGAGCTGTAAGCTTGGATGTTTGGTTGGTGTAATGGATAATGGCTCAGAATTAGAGATTGGAGAACCAAGTTTGAATTTTAGTCAGGTTTGTTATATTCATTTACACATAAATAGCCTTTGGAACAGAATGAGTCCACCTCTTCTTCCCTCCAACTATGGGTTAATTAGTAGGACTTATCAGTAAATCATTTTTTCTGGTTTTAAATAACCTGCAAAAGGTTGATAAGCTGTAAAACACAAATCAATCAATCAACAGACTTGGCAAATGTCCAAGAAATTGCTTAACCTCAATCCACCAAAGGTTTATGAACCATCATGAAGGACCATTTTTTAAAATGCCTTCTTGGATTAAACAAAAGAACATCAGAATCTTTCACAGCATATGTGTGTATGGGGGGGTCATCTTTATGTCAGAGGGGACTCAGAAAGAATTCACTGCCATATAAGGGGATTGATATTAAACAGCATGTAATGTTAGGTATAGAAGATTGGTTGTCTGTTTTGTGCATGAATAAATTTGTTTTGAAATAAATTCAATATTACTTTGTGAACACTTGTTTTCTATGGTGTGTCCCTTCAGGACAATGATGACCATAGCTCTTCACAACTTCCTATCCTTCATAGCTTTAAGTAATGTTTGTCTCCTTTTTTTCTTTCCAAGTCCCTTTTCTGCCATCCATTTAAACACTCTTGTTGGATATGTTACTTACTATTTCCCCTCTTTACTTCAGTATGTCCTATGAGTGTCAAATTCTCCAAGCCTTTCTTCCCCATTTTGTTTCTATTTTCTTTAAAACTTTTTTGTTGCTTACATACCTGTTGTAGAGTAGCTGAACACCCCCACAAGATGGACTGGTCTAAGACTATTTAAACAACACTCTCTTTTATTGAGTGAGAGGAGTTAATGATTAACTGGTTATTATATTAGTTTGTGTTCTCAACCATGTATCATATTCTGAATGCCCCAGAAGATGGACTGGTCTAAGACTATGTAAACAGCACTCTCTCTTATTGAGTGAGAGGAGTTAATGATTAACTTTTTATTATATTAGTTTGTGTTCTCTACCATGTATCATATTCTCCAGAATAAACTACTTATTTTCTATATGTGTGTCAACCTTTCATATTTACAACATAACAATACCCTATCCACAGTATTCTCAGCAACCTTTTGTAGAACTGCATCTCTGTTTCCTCAAGTTTTCTCTTCATTATTCCAGTATTCACTGACATCTAGGAAAATAAATATTACACAGGGGATATGTTTGATAGATAACAGTTGACCCTAGACTTGAAGAAATTAAAATAGTAGTAACTGAGGAAGCATTCTCTCTTGGGAGTCTGTTCCACAAAGTAACAGTTCTGGGAAAGAAGCTGTCAGAGTGAAATGTCTTACTTACTGATGGAATATGAAGAGAATGAAGATGAGTTGGCCTTGTGTATGTAGCATGGTACATTCCAGCTGCTAAGGTCTGAACTAGTTCAACTAAAGAATGCAGCTCATCTGAACATTTGCCATGGAAATAGTGACAGAGTAGTAAGAGGCTAGCAACATTTTATCTGTGGGAAAGGGATTGCAGGATGGAAAAAATTCATCAACCATAAGACCATGTACATGTTTTTTTTTTAACTCTGTCAAAGGTGAACAGTTATGACTGGGCAGTTTCAGCCCAGATATGGCTGTAATACTCCATTTCTGATCTGATCCAACTCTTGTAAAAATAGAACATGGCAGGAGGGGTCAAGCACATTCTGGAGCGGTGCAAGGATCCAACCATCTTTCTAGCAACATATTTCTGATATGTCCTTGTGCTTTACCACTCTGTTGTTCCTTTTGAAGTTTTGCTGCTCACACTGAACAATTTACATTGCTTCTGCTTACCAAATAGCTAAGGAAACTTAAAGACTAATTTCTAACTGTAGAAATTACAATATCTTAAAATTGCAAATGTTTAACAATGCCTCAAAAGAGTATCAGATGTTTAAGCAAAGATGACTTTCTTTAATAAACAATGGTGACCATGTTTAAAGAAGATAAACTGAGCTGAGATGTCTGTAACATATATATTCATGAAAATGAGAGATAATCATAGATAATATTGTGATTTCACAGAAAGACAATGGCAAATATGTCATGTTTACAGGTTGACAATGAGCAGCTATGGTTATATTGCTTGACAGTTGAACTTTTGAACTGGTGTTTTTTTTGTAATCATTTTACCCCTAGCAAGACAATAAAAGCAATTAAGATGCAAAGGGGTACTGAGTGTGAAAGACACTGAGATAAGATAATGAAGGACATGATCAATGGAGATGAAAGATGATGACTGACGTTGCATTTAAATTTTTGACAATTATAACTGACAGTAATGCAAGAAGCTGGAAGAGAGTTCCACAAGCATAAAGGGTGAGAAAAGAAACTATTAGCATAAAACTTTCAACTGTAAAATGATGAGACCTAGCTGCCAATCTAGTATCATGCTTAAATTCATAAAGTCAAGGTACAAAAGAGGAAAGCAGTATTTACCAACCTCCCCACAAAGCTGGATGTGGCACAAGGCCGATTTTTATGTGGGGCAAATCTGAGTCCATATGCTCAGGCAAAAATTCCCCACATACACGGGGTCAGGTTTGTCTACCTCCCCAGACAGGACTCTGCCCTTCAGCATAGCCTTGTCTGGGTTACTCTCTGCCTTCAGGCAGAGAGTTCGGCAAGATCTAAGATATTCACACATGGCTAGCTCTCACTGCCGGCTGGTACCAAAGAGGAAAGCTCATCAGAATAATTACCAAGAAAATATTTATAGAAAAGGCACAGGGAAGCTATGTTACAGTGGTGGAAACGTGATTGAAGCTGAGATGCCAAGTCAGGATTGATGACATTGCAAATTCTTTGGATTTTGTCCAGGATCTCTAGATATATAGTAGAAACACGACATTAGATGTGGCAGTAATATTCAATGCACCGACGAATGATAGACTTATAAATGTGTAAGACAGATTCTGACAAGAAAAAATTATCCAGCACAACATAGTTAAGCAATTTTCCTGGCATCAGACCTGAAAGTTTTGTTCATATCTGATGTAATGGAATAACCTGTCACCCCCATGAGTGACTACACTATAGGTAGTAACTACCTATAAGTATCGGTAAGTCAACGGACTACAGAGACTAGCTGGGATCTGTTGAGTACAACTCTTACGCGAGAACTACCGACCTACCAATAGTAGCACTCACTACTAGATTGACTTGTGACGACCTTGTGCATAACTGTTACCTTTATTCTTATTGTAGTGGTTTTTACAATAAACCTTTACTTATTTTATCCATTATGTTTTTCAAGTAGATATTCCTATTAGTATGGAATATAACAATATATTTGAAGGTTCATAACTTGAATGTCTGTAAGTAGGAGAGCACATGTATTTAGCTTTTTGAACAGTAGAAACAAAGTTCAAAATCTGGTTTGGTCAGTTGTAAATTTTGATTCTCTTTTTAAAAATAAAACAATTCAATAAATCATTAAACCTTATTATGTTTAAATAGTCAGTATCAATGCTTGGTCATTGTCATGAAACTGTGTCAAATTCTTCTGAGTGTTGGATGGCCTTGGTGGTATCTGTCCATAGAAAGCAGATAAATAACATTTAGAATAAAAACACATAAAGACACCTAGATAGAATTCGAAAGAATATGAATAACCATTTTATTTTCTAGAAAGAGAACATGCTCACAAAGGATAGAAATGTGTTACATGACTTCTTTCCAACACTGAAAAGGAAAGCTAGCAGATTTTACACAAGCTGTCCTTGCACATAAGTCTGACACATCACATTATAAGAGGTTTATACTCACAAGTTATGATGTACATCTTTCCAAAGCCACTCCTCTGTCAAGACAGGGCTCTGTTCATTGGCCATTGAGGCTCACATGACTGACAAAACTTGTTGCATAGTAATTAGGGAAGTGGAAGGAAAGTTAACCACCCAACATGGGTATGTTTCAATTTTAAAGTACAGTATAGAAAATTAAGAAAAAAATTAAATGTAATGTTAATTATCTTCTGTCTCCTTAATTCATGCTTTTTTTTAATGCCCTATCTCTTTAATATAACTTTTTCTCAGATTTTTTCACACTCAGTAACCCCTTGTGTGTTAGTGACTTTATCACTTTGCTTGGGATAAAATGATTATTAAAAAAAATGTCAATATTCCAATAAACTGTCTAAGATACTTGTATTCAAATAAGGTGGCTTTATAGAAGAATAAAAAAAATAATTTTATGTTCCCACTTCCAAAAAGTAAAGAACCACACTCTCTTTCCATTTTCCAATACATAGCATTCAGCCGTGTTTTGCAGAACCTCCACTGATGAAGTAAGCACAACTTTTATTTTGGTCATTCGAACTCAATGCAAAGCTGACTTGAACTCAACCATTATAGCCATTCTTATCATTTCTTGTCCTAACTTACTTTTGGACCAGAAAAACAAAAATGGATATACCCAAAAGTCATTGAGAACTTTATTTCTCTACAGTGTCTCTTAAAAAAAAAGAATAAACAGTCTATAGTAGAAACCCGAGCTTTTGTTACTTCTTCTTTAATTGTTTATATGTGAACATGCACACACTTACACAAACATGCAACCATAGATCTCATTACCACATCTCCCATGTATATATTCAGATTCATAGATGAAAATAAATATACTGTTTAAAATAAATAGAGCATGTACTCAAATATGGACATGCACTAAAAATAACATTTAAAATGATAAAAAATATCAGATTAATAAATAAAAAAATCCGTTACTTCTGGAATGAGAGAGATTGTGCTTAAAGGCATTACTCAGCCTTGCTTGATCAGCAATGCCCTTTGTGGCTGAAAAAGTTAAAAGCATTTCAGATCTAACAACAATTTCTCCTACAAAGAGGGACACAAGGAATCTGGAAGGTGCATCTTTTTCTTTAATAAAATTTCTTGAATTTGATCTGGCAGATGAAAATAAAT